CCACAATCACAGCCGCTTCTGGGTTTGCGTTCTGCCTGCTGATCAGGCAGTACAGCTCCTCCAGCGCTAATTTAGCGTTAGCTCGGTGGTATATAGACGGCTACAATCAGGATTGAGCAAATCTCTCTCACCGTTTTAAAAGGTCTGCATTTCACTGCCAGATATTCCAAGTCGGGGGAGCAATGTGTTCCAATGATGGTCGTAGCTGTGCACCAGAAGTTGTGGATGTACAGCGTCAGACCTCCACCTCTCTGTTTAGCAGATGCTGCAGTCCTTTCTGCTCGAAATAAGGCGCATCCCTCCAGCTCTACCACAGTGTCTGGGATGTTGCCATCCAACCAGGTTTCGGTTATAATCGCCACACAACTGCCCTTCCTCCGTGTGATGATCTGCAGCCAAATCTCGTCCATTTTGTTGGTTAGTGACCTGGCATTTGTGAGGAAGAGAATAGGGATCGCTGGCCTGTGTGGGTTAGCATGTAGCCTAGCATGCAGCCCGCTCCTCTTACCCCTCTTGTTTACGGTGTCTCCTCTGTCTCCTTGGCCACAAAGGGGGGATGGTGAGAGCCGTAGTGGTCCGGTGTAACTCTGGTGAAATAAAGTCCGGCTTCGTGGGTGCGTAAAGTTTGTATTGTTTCCCTATTGTAAGTAGTTCAGCTCTTCCATACTGGATGGTGGCTTCAGAAAACTGTAGTGACAACAAAAACACGAACAAAGATACGAATACGAAAACAAAAAGCTGAGAGCCCCAAGCCACTGCATATGTACGCGGCACCATCTTTACCACTCTCTGCAGGCACTTGCGGTCCATAGCAGTAGTGCTGCCATACCACACAGTGATGCAGCTGGTTAAGATGCTCTCAATGATGCAGCTGCAAAAGTTGCTGAGGATCCTAGGCGACATGCCAAACCTCCTCAGTCTCCTCAAGAAGTACAGCCGCCGTTGGGCCTTCTTGACCAGCTGTGTGGTGTTAAGTGTCCAAGTGCGGTCCTCACTGATGTGGTCCCGGATGAACAGTGGCTGATGAGTTCTCCTCTCCTTCCTCATGTCCACTATCATCTCCTTCGTCTTGTCCGTGTTGAGGCTGAGATTATTGTCCTTGCACCATGACACCAGACCGGCCACCTCCCTCCTATAGGCTGCTT